GAATTTTATTCTGGCGAGACATTCAAATAACTTGAAATTATAGTTTTGTTCAAATTGAAAACTCTTACTAATAGTTTTCTAATTATATTTTACAAATTGTAGTAGTAGAGACTTTTATTGTAGAAAATCACATCCTGAAACAATTTGTTTTTAGTATCGTCGTACTAGCAGTAACTTTTATCTGGCTCAATGGGATACGGTATAATTAACTTTTTGCCGCCACGATGATCATCTGTCTTACAAATATAAATGATTAGAAATGTAACAGGAGAAAAATCTTTTATATAAAATCTCATACTGAAACGAAATATTGTTTACGTTTTATTAAATTGAGATGAAGAAATTTATTTCTTTGATGTTAAAAGATAGTCAATCATATTGACCAAAACAAAAAATGATCAAACGTCGTTAGTTTTGAAAAAGAAACCATAATAAAAGAATTCTAATAATATATACAAGAGTAGTTTGATATTTGAATAAGAAAAAAAAAACTTGCAGTTAGGACATTTATTGATTATATAAATGAATATGAAAGTTATTGTTGTTTGTCTATTTGAGTTCGATCAGATTTTCGAATTGGATATCGTTATCAAAAATTAACTGATAAATGGAGCAAATCTTTAACAACATATCAATCAATTAGTATGAAAATAATTTAGACTTTTAAATTAATAATAAATACTATTTTTTGTTTAGTTGAACATGTTTCCGTCTTTGAAAATGATCTTTCTCAATTAATTCAACAATTAAAATGATTTGCGTTTCTGGATATTTCTGGTCGAATCGATCGTCAAAAAATCGAACCTTGTCATTCTATGATTCAAAAACGTTTTCCTAATAGTCAATTTGATATAACAATAATAAGATTTCGTCTTTGGTTTTGATCTTGTACATATTATATTCAACAGACATACAATCTACTCATTGGATAACTATAATTGTTTTATTTCTCATTGTTAAATCAATAATAAAAAGTTTTTTTTTTCATTCAACAACTTTTATTGAATATTTATTTGATCACTTTTGTGAAACGTGCTAGAAAAAAAGTAGTCAAGTCAAAATATGATCTTGGTTCAAGTTTTTTCAAAGGCTAAACTAAGTTGAGACTGTATATGGTCATTCCTCTTCTTGATGACGTCTCTCAAGAATGATTCACCAAAAAAATTTAAAATTTTTCAAGAAGATAGATTTTGATGAGTAGAACAAAAGTTGGCAGAGAGCCAATGTTTCCTAACCCTCTCTTCTATGAGATATTGAACTCGAAACAGCGAAAAATTATTCCAACATTCATCCTCGTTTCTCCACAATGCTGCGTTCAATCAAGCGAGAAATTTTTTTTGCGGACAATAGAAATTTTTTTTTGGTGGTTAAATATTTCTGACGTTTTTTATCTTTTGTACTTTGAATAACAAACTCAAAATATCGAAGGTACTTCAAAAACACAATTTTTTGAATAGACCTTTTTTTTCTAAGAGCTAACAAAAACCAAAGAACAATCATTCTTCTAAACGAAAAACATTCATTCTAAATAGTGTCTAGTGTATGAAAAAAAAAGGTGTCAGCTCTATAGGATTTATTACGCCGAAGAAATGGAGGCGTCTCTACAGTTTTTCTCATGAAAAATTTGTTTTGAGGAAAACACGAAACAATATGCAGCTTTCGATATTTTGCTTATGAAAGTTTGTTTTTGTTTCTCTGATTTTTTAAAGTTTAAAGATAATTTTCGGATCTCAAAGTGTACTCATCGGATAGATACTACTTGAGATTACATCATGGTCACAAAAAGAAAACAAAAAAAGGGAAAAATAAACAATTTTAACTCAGAAAACGATAAGGCTAACCTTATAGATAAAGCAAACCAAAACAAAAGCTTCAAAAATCAATTAAGAATTACTGAAACTATATAGTATTTATGAAACATTGCCTTAATCAAAATAATTGTCATCTAAACTCCTTTTTGTCATTAAAGATTATTGCGTAATAGAAGACTCCCTGAAAAAGAGATGCTTCGGATACGATAGAAATTACTTCGTTAATTACTTAATTAATTATCAAATTTTAACTTAAATAAATATATCTATCGAGAAGGTGCTGGTTAGTATAGTACTCATTGTGAAACAAATGGAAACTGAAGCAGTCATCATTTCTGCATCGTTTCCATTGTGGCAAATCCGTTCATATCTATTAAGTAGACCTGCCTTTTTTGGAACAAATTTCTAATTATCAGTACTTAATACAGAGAGAAATCTAATAGAATGCTTACCTGATATATTTATCTGTTCGAGTATAACGCAGTATTCTAGGATCTTCTAGTATACGACGAGGATTATTATCTACATAGAAATTCGTATTTTTGTGGAACTCACATAAATTTTCGAAGAAAATAGTGAGTGGAAGTTTCAAGTTCAAGGTTTCGCGACTCTCCTTCTCCTCTCTCGCGTTACAGACAGGCCCTATTACAAACCATAGCAACTTTACAAAAAAAATTCTTTCGAAGTATATATATATAAAAAGACAACATTTGCTGACAATCATTTATCATTAGAAAAGAATTATCGTCTTTGAGTAAATTTAAACATTATATATTTTGCCATTAGTACCGTGAAACTAAAGAAGATATGTGAGTTCCACATTTTGAGTCACAAAGGGGCTGCATTAACAAGCTTTTCTAGTTATTATTTAGGTTTTTATATTCGTTTTAAGAATAGTGAAATTTTTGATAGATATTGACTTTGATCAAAGTGATGATGATCTGAATGCTTTTTTCTTCCAAATAACAACATGTCTTTGTTTACCTTCTCTCTTTTTCTTAGGCGAAGAAATATATCTACAACTTCATTTCTACTGGTAAAATATTTTTGTTTACTTTTATTCCATGAAAAGTTGGAATATTGTTCTAAAATGGATAAATTTATCACTGAACTGAATAAATCCGAACATATAAACTTCAAGAGCGGAACCAAGATCGACGTCGGTTTGAAAAGCTACGAAACCAACAATCGCCACCTCTGATTGAATTATATAGAGTAGAAATAAGTATCCAATTTTCTCAGAAATCGTCATAGACATTTTGTTTAAATAATAAATTAACTTCTAATGAATATCTAATTAATCTTTAATTAATAGTCTAATAAATGTATAATTAATAGATCATGATTGACTTAGTAATATATATGCAGTTTTAACAGCAAAGACAAAGAATTGAAAGTGTGAATGTCGATCTGGCTAGCGAGACACAACAAGAGACGACATACAATCATATTTATATCGATATCTTATCACACATTTCACTCACGTTCACACTCAATCCAGAAGTTAAATCAAGACTGACATTCGTACCAGAGACCGTCACAGGGCAGGGCAGGGCAAAACTTTTTGCCCTGATTCAAAAAAATTTTTAAAGAGAATCTGATTAAAATTCAATATTTTTATTAGAAAACCGATTAAAGTGGCAATATTTTTATTGAATTTTAACCCAATTATTTGATGTTCAATCGATTAAACTTTGTTACTAGATCAACACTTTTGTATTTCATTCAAATTAATTTTTGTAGTAACTTTTTTCAAGAATTTTTCATATCAAAGGCTTTCTTTCTCAGCTCAAGAAGTGTATGTAGATTAAAAAAAAGTTTAACCAAGTAAACCAATCAAATGTTGCCTGTCAACCTGAAGAGAAGACTTTTATTCAGCTCTGTTGAAAAGTAGCCGTCTTTCGTTTAATACTCACGATAGATAAACAATCATTTTATATTAGAAGTTCGTTCACAGGAAAACAACAAAGGCAAAATAGAAGCTAATATGATTCCTAATTTTTTTTTCAAAAATTCTGAAATTTCTTTACATTTATTAATGTCAAACTTGGTTTTTGAGCAACAGATAATTGTTTTACAATTAAAATCACTTTACTCCTATTAAACAATTTTTTCAGTAAAAAACTTAGTATTCTGCAATATTTAGTTTCTAAAAACGCCTACCAACGATGAAAGGCTGAAGTTCAGATTTACATTGATTGTTTTTGGACTAAAAAACGATTGTAGTAGCACTACTTTAATCAGATTTTATCAGCTAATAGACAGATTTCATTCGATTTAAAATCTTTTTTCATCTATTAAAATCGATGATTCAAAATAAAGCAATTATAAATGATTATTAGAAATCGATTTCAAGTGATTAAAGTTATTTCACCCAAAATATTGCTAAAAAATCTTACAATTAAATGAAATTTGTCTTTTTGACTGAAAACTCTGACTAAATGCAGTCTAAAATAGTGCTATTTCAGTTAACTTTTACGTCAGACACAATCGATTTTTATCTGATCTTTAACCGTTTTTCTACATGGACAAATGAGTCTCAGGAGAGTTTTTTACATATTTGATTCTGTAGGTAAATGCGAGAAAAAATCTAGGCGATGAATAGAAGACCAATATTGGTAGGGTTACATGAACTTTCGTAATAGAAAGTCATCATTTTTTATTCCATGGAAATGGCACATGAGTTTTATTCATTGCTATTTTAGTTTATACGTTGAGCAAGCAATTATTATCGTATGTTGCAACACGATATGTTGAAGATCGACCTAATATTACACGTACTATTTGTCGTCGTAAGGAGTTCAGAAAAAAATGAATTTTTTAAGTTCCACTTTCAAAATTACATGTTTCATCCGTTTCATTATTGAAAACGGTTGAAAATTGAATAATCTGATTTTAATAGTAGCATTTTCATCCAACTTTTAAACATAAGAATTCCATTAAAATTATATGATTTGTAAAGCTTGTACAACAGTACTTCTTTCTGGCACTTGATGGTGTTTAATTGCATAATAACTTTCATTGTGACACTTTCGAAATAACATAAAGTATGGCTACGAAATTCGAAAGCAATCACATGATTTTTATGAAGATTTTAGATCTTGTACTAGACTTACTTTGTTTTGTGTATAAAGAAATTTTGCATTCAAATTCTTTCTTCTAGATTACTTGAAATTTTCAAATGAACATATGGATCAAGTTAAACGACAATTTACTTTTAGTCAATCACCTGAACAAGCAAAAAAGAAATTACGAAGTTAGTTGTTCTGGCAATAGACATATAAACTTCTTTGTATTTTCATTGTAATAGATGATTGTGATCGATCAATAACTTGTATTGAAAATTTAGCTAATGAATTTTTCTATGAAATATTTGATTATCTTAGTGGTTATGAAATATATAAAGGATTTTCAAATCTCAATCATTGTTTTCAACGACTTCTCAATTCGTCATCTCTTTTATTTGAAATTAAACTTACTAATGCAACACATGATGAAACATTGACGAATAACTATAGACAATTTCTATGTAGAGTATGGGGTGTGGGTGTGTGGTTTGAATAGTAAAAGACACGCACACCTACATCCACGTATACCCACATCCACACCCCAAAGAAAGTTTTATCAATAGATAACGAATTAAAAGAACTGTTATCTTCTAAAAACAAAAATTGAAAATATGTATAGTACCTTTCGTTGATTGAATAGTCAGCAACACTTCTAGCTGTGAAAAGAATTGTTGATCACTGTAGTATATATATGCTCATAATGACTTTGTACATGCTTACCTTTCTTCCACTTCAGATGTTTTGGGTCATGATATAAGAGACAATTATCATTCATGACTAATTTTATATGGTAAACATTAATTTTTATGGCGCAATTTCATCATTAATAGCTATGTATATGAGAAACATATGACAAGCTAAATGTAATTACGATATACGATTTTTTTTATCGTAACCGAATATCTTCTTCCTCTAGACAATGAAATGAGTTGTAAAAACAAAGTTATTAATGTAAGATCATATCGAATGCTCTTATGTTCTAATGTTTGTTATAAAAAAAGAAATTTTCAACCTGAAGCAATGAAAAATTTTGTGACGCCTCTTTTACATGACTTCACTTTCAATGAATCGGCACATAGATGAATTGTATTCAAGCAACAACAAACCAAAGCAAAAGAAAATGAATACGCATCAAACACATATCCATATACCCCACAAGCAGAAAAAGAAACAGGCTGCATCTTGAAGGAAAAGAGAAAATAGTGTAGCTCAAGACTCAAAATGGGTTTCATAGCAGCGATAATGACAATCTTTCTGATATGGATATTTCTCTTCGAGCACACCCAAATTCACATCCTTTGAAGTTCGAATTATTTTCGGTCAGTGGTGAGTAAAATTTCAAGATGATGAATGATTTTTATGAAACTTAGCTGAATCTTGGGAAACACACTTTCGTTACCGAAAAAAAATCGAATTTCAGAATTCCGAAAAATTATCTCTAGATTTGAATTTCTCAACCCCTAAAGCTTCTAATCAAGTTTTATAAGAAGTCGTTACTCTCAAAAGATAGTTCTGTCTTCATGAAGAAAATTAAAATCGGAATATTATGATACTTATCTGCATTTATCACCTTAATCTATCGTATCTTCCATTTCTATAAGTACTACTAAGAAGATTCAATATCGAAAGATATTGAGCGTTCCAAACTTACACTTTTTTTTCATCTCATTAGCTATGGAATGCCTCAATCTCAATCTAATATATGTAAATATTTTATTATGAATAGCGATTTTTGTTTGTACCCTGATTTAATTATTCGCAACTTTTAATAAAGAATAAATTTGGTTTTAACTCATCCAATAAAAGAAAGAATTGGTAAAATATGCAGACTAATTTGTCCTTAACCGTATTCCATTTAAAAAATGAATAGAACATGTTTAGACGAATTATTCTTTCATTTTTCAATTGATTCTTAGAACGCTAATAGAAATTTAAAAAGCACTTTTTTATGATAAGAAATTTAATTTTTATCACAATCTTGCATTGGATTTTCTATTTGTCGGATTTATAATTTAGCGTAGGTATGAGCAAAGCTTTGAAAGATTGGAAAATAAAATTCTGACGAAGACGATAGTTTTATTCAACCATTTTGTGATAAAAAAAATATGATTGGATCTAGGTTGAAGTTCGTTTTCATTCTGATCTTTCTTGTAACTTCGCTTAGCTTGACTTTTTTAAACTTGGTATGATCAAATACTAAATGCTTATTAGAACGATGATACTAAGATAATTAACTAACCTATCCATAGATAATGCACTCACTTATTTTCAACTTTCCGACTGCCACATGCTAGCCAGCTAATTTGACAAAGCAATGTTTTTTTTAACTAGAAAAAAAAACAATTTTGACAACAAGAGAAGATGATTCATCAATGTCAATCCGTAACTCAATGTTCAATCATACGACAATTATTTTTCCTTTTTTTTAAATAATACATAGTTGTATTCTAAATGAGATGAAAAGACAATACGATCAATAAATGTAGAATCTTTGAAAGTCTTAAAAAATAAAGTTCAAAGTCAATTGCCAAAATACTCATTTGTAGTAAATGTTTTACATTTAATTGATTATTAGACTTTTATTTTGAGGAAAAACATTTATGCTTTCGATCATTTATCAAAGAACTCGAATATTTGGTTCAAGTTTCAAATTTTTTAAAAATCATTCATGAAATCTCCTCAATAATAATGTATTATTGCACTTCGAAGAATGTGTGTGAATGCGAATGTAGTTTTGACTGAAGCAAAGATGAACACTCACGTCTACAACCCCAATCAGCCAACCACGTGTTCTATGATGGTTGATTGTGCAATTACTTTTTCATACGCTTATGTCAACAGGCAAAAAAAGGAACAAGTCGCGTTTGCTGTCTCTATTAGAAATGAAACAAAAACAACTCAAATTTCACCATCACCTTATCCTTTCATCGTATTAGTGAGATTTAAAATTATTATCACTTTGACTTACCTTCTGCTGATATTCTACACCATGTAAGCGATTTTACTCGCAACGGTACAGAACATTCTTGTTGAATAGTTACCATCAGACAAATCATTAGTAACAAATGATGTTCAAAATCCAAGAACATGATGGAAATCCTATGGAAAGAATTGAGAACAACATTTCTAAGCTTCTTTTGTTTATTCTCATATGATTCAACAATATGATAAATCATTCGTTCCCGTTGGTTGTACTTTTTCAATGAGAACATTAATGTGTTCGTAATCAAATAGATGAGACAACTGATTTTTATCGAGTATCATAGAAATTCATTTGAGTAAGGATTATATACGTCATTTGTTAACTGGTTAAATGAGATATCCTGCAATGATGCTATTCGAAGTTCTCTTTCGACTGATATGGATGACTGATCACCGTCGCAAATTACTTGAAAACATTGGGAAGAGCAATGCCAACTGTGCTCCTGCTTTGATTATTAATTTTTTTTGAAAAGTAGTTCGTGTTCGAAACTAATAATCAAACCAACACTTTATGTATTTGGTCATATTCACGGAAAGCATGAGCAATAAGAACTGAACAAGACATTATTTGTCTATGCATTGATTTGTGATCATCAATTTCGTGCAAAGCAACTTCCAATTATTGTCGATCTACAGAAATAATTTCACAAACAATTTTCATGTTTCAATCAAGAAAATGACTAAAGTGTCACAAATAATCACAGAACGTCGCTTCGAAAACATGGTTTGTATTAGAAACAATCACTTATCATCGTTCTTTGAAGAGAACGATGATGAATCACAGTTTTTTTGATATCTCAATAGTGTTTAGATTCCATTACATGGTGTGTGGGTGGCGGTGCTGAATGAATAACGACAAACCCACATCCTCAAAGATTGAGCTCATTTTACACATTCGATTGAACGATCAATTAGATTTGAGTACAAACTTATTGCTTTTGTTTGTCGAAAAATGAGAGTTGAATGAATGATGATCGTTTGCTGATCTAAATAACTAACTATACTATCTCTTCTCGATTTATGAAGTCAGTCTGAATCGGTTGTTTTTGCACCATTGGCTCTCTTCTTTGATCGTTGTAATGTGATATTCTCCGCCACATGAATCTATCTTTCTAAAAAAAGCAATAATGAAAGTTCGTTCAGTTTTTTTCTGTTTTCTTGTGGATTATTTTATGTTTATTTAAAAATGTACACATCACTATTCAAAAACAAGTACAAAGTGCAAGAATAATAGTTAAATATCGACTATTCGGTTTACAAATTTTCAATATTAATTTAGTACTTCATTCAGTTCTTAAAATATTCCATTATTTGCATATAATCAAAAAATCATTAATTCAAATCACCTTGTTAATCTTATGTACAACTTTTATTTTTGGAGAAGCTAGATTTTCTCTTTCTTTTCCATTATCACACATCGATGCATTCTTCGATGTTGTGGCCAATAATCAGCTGTTGCATAATGCTGTGTTGTCCGTTCATCCCATAAACAAACATCATTTTCATTCCATTTCCATCGACATGTGAATTCTGGTCTTTTGTTGACCAATGAAAATAAATATTGTAATAGCAAATTACTTTCTTGTTCATTTAATTCGTTGATCTTCGTGGTATAAGTCTTATTAACATATAAACATTTTTCTTTGGTATGTGAATGTTCACGAATAACCGGATGAGTGGCTGGTGGATTTTCTTCTTTAGTTTTCATGAATTTCACCATAGCAGTAGAATTAGATTTAATCAAAGGTTGAAATGCGTATGCAAATGAATGTTGAGCTGTGAGTTTACTAAGAATTCCTTTCATTTCATTTGATAATTCTTGTTTATAAATTTCCACCATATTTGCCCATAGTGTATCACCACCCCCTTGTTTTGGTATAATTTTTGCATAAAGCAGACCAATTATTGGTGGATTCGTTGACCATGTAACATCAGTATGCCAGACATCAGAATCTGGCTTTTTATCCGGATCAACATTTACACCAAATTCCAAGACACTTATTTCCGGACACTCTGCAGTATGCGAAAAAACCGGGTGTACATGTGGATCACCAAATAGACGGGCAAAATCACGTTGTTGTTTGGATGTTAAATGTTGATTACGAAAGAAGAGTACGTGATGTTTGTAGAGTGCTTCTTCTAATCCATGTTTTTGATCCTCAGTCAATGGTTGTGATAAATCCAAGTTATGAATTATAGCACCAATACTCGGGTTAAGGACTTCAATGTTGAATTGTTGACTAGTAGCCATTCTCTTTGTAACGATATTTCTGGTTATTTCAAAAGGGCAATTGAAGCAGAAAATGCTCTTTTACAATTATTAAATAGAAGAGCTCTTTACTTGAATCTATAAATACTCAAGATAAAGAAAAAAACCTGCGCCATATCAAAAAAGATAACAAAATATACTAAAGGTATACTTTTAAATTGTTCAAGCATGTCAATAAAAATATTGGAAATCCACCTGTTCGAACTGCTTGAATATATATTTCTGTATTTCATTGCGATAGTTTATTCTCAGTAATACATTGATTTATATTATTCAAAATTACTTTCGATTTAACTTCGTTATAAAAAAAAAGTGTTGTTTGCATTTCATGCGTGATTCACACAAAGAGTAAAAAAACTTTAAAAAACATATATCTTTTCTGCTGATTCTCTTTTGTGGAAAGTCGATGAATTTGCAGATGATATGGTTGAGTAGCTGTTTTTCATTTGTGAAAGTTTAGAAAATATTCGATTTAAGCAAATAGAGAACAGTACAGGATGTCTCAGAAAAAAATATACAAGGAAATTATTGATTATAATCGATTCTTTTTCAATGAGAGCAGAGCGTGGGTAGGAGTATGTGTGTAGGTCGATGAGAGAAGGAGCCAGGTAAAAACACACACACACACCTACATCATGAGAATATATTTACGTAGTTTGCTTTTACGTTCTCCGTCAACTTTTTTCAATGATAGAGAAAGAAGAAAAAAAAAATTACATATCCGAACTCCCAGATTTGAACTGGGGACCTATAGGTTACCACGATTTATACCATTACAGCCTACCGCTCTGCCAGCTGAGCTAAGTTCGGATGCTTACGTAGGATGCAAAAGCAAGCCTCTATCAGAATTTTTTTCATAGCTGTTTAGATTGAAAAACGACTCTATTTTAGAGTTTTCTGAAATTGGTATAATTTTTCGAACCGACTGATTTCTCACGCATTTTACTTTTGAAGATTTTTTTGTAAAATTATTGGATTTCTTAGAACTATATAAAATATTACTTTTTCAGATATTTTGTTTTTGTTTTTTCAGTTTGAAAATTATTTTCTATATCTTATATAATTTTGTACAAAAGGTTCGATTCGCTTTATCAGAACGAATTCAGGCTTATTCTGATGCTCGACGTATAACCATCGTAGTGAATTTGTGAGAAAATTATGAAAAACTGCATACCAAGAAAGCTGGCAGCGGATTCCAGTTTTTCTTGTTGATATTCGCTCCTGAATTAATGATAGTACTCTAATTGATTGCGATGGATAGAGAATTCAATTCTCCATCGAATTGTGACATTTTTCAGATCTTTATCGAGGAAGAAGTTAAAGCTTCGTCGAAAAACCAAGTTTTCGACGAACTGCTACCGTTGTTTTGTACAACGTATGTTAAAGATTTAGAAAGCTTTATTGATGTTAGATGGTGGTTGGGGAAGGTCTTGGAGCTGGATGAACGATACTTTCGTTGAAAATATCATATATGACAGAATATAATGCAGTTTACGTACGTAAAATCAATATCAATGATTCTTTTTGATGAATCTTTTTAGAAAGGTGTGGATGCGAGTATGAGTGCTTCACCGGTAGACTAACAGTCACAACCATATCCTTGATAAACGTTATATTATTATGTAGTACGCTGATCTTAAATCTATATAAGCCCATGCTTTATACCATTCAATTCTTTCTTCTTACAGCAGAAGACTGATTACTGAAAAGCAAGAGTTAAGATTAGCAGATTGACTTATGTAACAGTGATAGAGGTTGATCTATTTTTTTTCAATTGATTTACTCTCACCATTATAGTTTGAGTTACAAATGTGGAAAGAAAAAATGTGTCTACATACACATAAACATACCTATATACTGACATTAAGATAATAATGTAGACATAGTCAATGTGCTTGCTGTTTGTTACTTTATCAACAAAGTATGAGATAAAAAGACGATGTTCTCTTACGGAGCCATATTGATTTCTATATTCTACTAATACCAAAAGATGATAACTTCAACGTTGGTACACCTAATATTCTTCATCGGTGTTTCTTATGAGCTGAACAATGGATTGGGTAGAACACCTCAAATGGGTAAAACACTACAATTTTATCTATCTATTTTAATAATTCATTTATTCAAGGATGGAATAGTTGGAATCATTTTCATCGTAATATTAGTGAAAAAATAATTCGACAAACTGTAGATGCTATTGTAGTTACAGGTCTTGCAGCTGTTGGATATCAATATGGTTTGTTTTTTTCTTATTTATATGTATCGAAAATATTTTCCATTTTGTATAGTAAATCTGGATGGTTGCTGACAATTGATCGGAGATAGTCAAGGTATTATTCATCCTGATCCTCAAGTTTTTCCAAGTGGAATACCAGCTCTTGCTGATTATGCTCATTTAAGAAAACTTAAATGTGGTCTTTATTCAGATATAATCATTACATCTATTGATTACATTAGTTTATTTATCACTAAATACATTAGATGCAGGATTTAAGACATGTGCTGGACAACCTGGTTCACTTGGTTATGAAACAATAGATGCTAATACATATACATCTTGGAATGTTGATTATTTAAAATATGATAATTATAATACAGATGGAACTATTCCTGAAGTTCGATATCCAATTATGCGAGATACTTTAAATGCCAGTGGATGACCTATCTTCTTTTCCTTGTGTGGTATGTTCATTATTGAGAAATTTATCTCTGTTTATTATCCTAAAGCATATGTATAGAATGGGGTATTGATACACCTGCATTATGGGCAGCTGATGTTGGAAATAGTTGACGAACAAAAGGAGATATACAAGATAATTGGAATTCAATGATGTTTAATATTGATATTGTAACATAATATTGAACTTTTTACATAAGAATATTGATTTTTCATTTTTAGAACAATGACTTTGCTGATAAAGCTGGTCCTGGTGAATGGAATGATCCTGATAGTAAGTAAAGATTTTATATTTCTATAATTAATCTCATGTGTTTTATACTTATTTCATGCTCGAAATTGGAAATGGTGACATGAATGATGCTGAATATGTTACACACTTTTCTCTTTGGGCTATTAGCAAAGCACCTTTACTTATTGAATGCGATGTAACTAATATGAGTACAGCTACTTTAACTATCCTAACTAATCCTGAAGTAATTGCTGTTAATCAAGATCTATTAGGTGTACAAGGAAAAAAAAGTTGCTTTTGCATCATCGAAATTGCTCAATGTATCAACTGAGATCGTTGTTGCAAATTGTTCAACATCATCAAAAATAGAAGCAAAACGTGTGCAATGGACACATAATTCTCAAGATGGAACAATTCGATCAGCACTCGATGGACGATGCTTATCCATTAATAATTGTAGTACAGATGAAGGAGCTATTATTGTATTAAGTGAATGTCATATTAATGATTCATAAACACAATGTCAAGGAAAGAATCAACAATGGACAGTTAGTTCAGCTGATCAAACTATTGTTTCTCAAATGAATGGAAAGTGGTAAGTTTTTTGATCATCGAGAAATAAATATTTGAAATTTCAATTGATTAGTTTGAATTTCAATCAACAGCATGGGCCACATGTTAATACACTTACATGTAATAAACAAGATTATCAACAATGGTTATGGAATGCTATCGATGGAACAATTCGAATTAAACATGATGGTCAATGTTTAACTGTTTTACAGGAACTTGAAGTTTGGACTAGTCCACTTTCGGATCATTCACAAGCTGTTGTTTTACTTAATCGAGTTAATAGTGGGAATGAATCAATCACTGTCAAATGGACAGATATTGGATTTCCAAATGGTCAAGCAGCAATTGTTCGTAATTTATGGACTCGAAAAGATCTTGGAATATTTATAGGTAATTATACATCACCAAATATTAATTATCATTCAGTGATCATGTTAAAAATTACTCCAACACAAAATAAATAGTAGAACAATATAATTGATAAATATGTCTTAGCAAATGATAGAATGAAATCTTTTATATCCTACTCAATTTACTTTTCATAAAATATTTTATCATTTAAATCAAATAAAGTAGATAACCAGATAAGATATCAATACATTGAAATTATCAAACGATAATCGACTAACATTAAACATCAAATAATAATTCTGAACATCTATTGCAAGTTATTTTAATGTAATTAAAATCAGATAATAAAGGAAAAGAAATACAGATGAAAGAGTCTTTTTCTTAATTCTAAATACATAGCCAAATAGTAGTATTCACGGATGTTGATCTGCGAATATGTATGATTTTTAATTTTTCTACCAGTCTCACAATATCAAACAACTACTGTCTGATCGTTTTTTTTTTCACTAGAAGATTGATGTTGCAAAATCTTGAGCGAAAAGTCTTTTCATTCGAGAATAATTTCAAAAATATTGGTTTAAGAAAGTGTTTAATCCTTGTTCGAAATTATCTATTGCCGTACCATCCCGGTTGGACGTGTAACGAAGACTCAATATAATCTCTTGTTTTTGTTGTCCTCATCGTTCTTTCTTGTTTACTATTCGATATCGACCGCAGTTGAAAACATGTTAACGAAAGATTTCAGAATTAGATCGAATGAATGTTGAATAGGCGACACCTACTCCGAAATTTTTGAGAACATCGTCAAAGTCTTCATCGAAGATATCATCAGGAAACTCATGACGATTAAGTGTCATCCTTCTCACTGTTGAAAAAATCATGGTTAGAACAATATTCTATTGCTTTTAAGAGAAGGTGAGTGTGAAGAAAAGACTCAGGCTACTCCCACATCTCACACGCAAGTCTTTCTTCAGTATTATTTTAGATTTCGTTATCAACTGAATTTACATATATTTCTTGTACTCTCTTTATTTTGAGTTCCAGTAAGAAAAAAAATCGTTTTTTTGTAATATTATAACTATATTTTCTTTTGCAAAAATATGGTAGACAATTACAAACATCAATAATTCTACGTGAATCTGATAATGATGTACCATTAGATTTGCGTAAAGTTTCTACTATGACGCAATTGGTTATCTTTCTCTGATTTATATGAGGTTACATGAATGGGGATATGTTACATCAAATTTTTCTTCATTCAGTTATTTTGAGATTCCATTCAGTAGAAAACAATCTTCTCGCGTGTATCGATTTATAATTTATATTAATTTTTCAATCATTGACGTAACATTTTGTCTAAAGATAAAGACAAAAAAAAATGTATATCATCTTTCATAAAAATGTTTTCGAACACAAAAGCAAATTTCTTTTTCTAAGATTAGTCGTGCTTTTCTAAAAAATTCATATCAGTCTCTGAAAAAGAACGAAATTCTTATCTCAAATAAAATTACTGTTTGTCTTCCGTTAAACTCGACATTACTTCCCTTATCATAACCAAAATCTGATTGAGATTTTTCATCAACATTAGTGATTTATTTCTTAGCCAAAATAAATTAATAATTAATGAAACCGAATAGGATCATCTAGGAATGTATCCATGTTTTTTAACAGATAATATTGGTGAAAATACTCGTTCAACATGGTTGAAAAAGTAAAAGTAAAATTTTTTTTGCTCGTTAGGTAAACCACCGTCTGTATCTGTTAGTAAAAATTTAATAGTTTGTGATGGAACTAATGTTCAATTAACTTTTTCTATTAATGGATCCCCATGACCCAATATAACTTGTTTAAGATGTAAAATAAATATTTTGATTTTGTTTCATTTCAAATAAAAATCCATTATGTTTTATTTAGTAAATTCAAATAATTATCAACGAATTATTTTCAGTTATATTAATGGAAGATTTTATGTAAACAGTTGAACAGATGTATTATCAATATCAAATATAAAACGAGATGGTTCTAATCTCAGAGAATATTTAGCACATAATATTGTCATATCGATGAACGAACATTCAAAAAAATTGTTCGTCGTAAGTATAAAAAACAATGAAAGATATGATTTGATATAAAACATATCTCAAAAGCATACTATTTTAAGACGAATAAGTATTATTTCATTACCACGA